GATCTGAATGGACGAGCCAAATTTGACGTCCAATCAGATCGCGTATAACACACAGGTATCAGAATCTAAAATGGCAGCGACAAGTCAAAAATTACCGTGAAATAGAAAAAATCGAGATAATATTGATATTCGTTTAACTTGAATTAAGTAAGCTGTGGAATTCAAGTTCGTTTTATTGATGTAATGAATGATGCAGCAAAATGCCTTCGGAATGCGCCTCAGTCGCCGAAACGACGATTTCCCGTGTTCCACATTGTTTGGCAAATGAACATATAGTAGGCTTTTCACCTTTCTATAACTATAATTTTGATAGTGGAAAAAAATTTTGTTTATATAATTTAATCGGTGGTTTTGTATTTGGTACCTTTTAGTAAGCCTTAGAGTGTTGAATTTTTTTTTCTGGGTTGTAGTAGGGGTCCAGGGGCAGATAGGGGTGGGGTGTCCAAACACTGATACTGCCACCTGTGGATTTATATATCAAATTAAATTTAAGGTAGGCTGGAGCGGCAATATCCCGTCTTTTTCCCCTAGGGGATTTCTTAATTCTGTTCGTTATATATCTGTACGGGCCCGTACGGCTAGCCAAAAAGTTCTAGCCGTACGTGAGTCATGTACGACTAGCCAGGACACACTGTATTGTCTAGCCATACGGCACTTTTCAAATTTAAATAGAAGTCGAAATTATACATATATGTTTCTTCATGACTTTAAGCGAGGATTTTAACCATGAAATAGTAATTGTCTTCGTATATTTACTTTAAATAGAGATTAATCGCCTTGTTGGCTACAGTAAAACAAGTACGAATATCGATCTTTATCATTTCAAGACATCGAGAAAAAATAGTGTTAGGTCGCAGTTAAATAACATCAATTGAAATAGTTTACAAAATTTTGATAATAATCCTTTATTGTTTCATAAAGTTTAATTTTCGACACCTTTAAAATGAAAAAAAAACTAGAAATGTGTCCATAGGACACGGATGCCCCCACACGCCACTGTTCTGTCAATCTTATGACTCTAGGTCAAATATTTTTTGGACTACATGTGCCACAAGTTGAAAACTAAAAATCAACAAAGGGCCATAATTCTGTTAAATTTGGTCGCAGCAAAAATTCCTCACTTTAAAACCATCTACACATTAAGGTTGTTCATCCCTGGAAGTTTAAGCAAAATCTGCCATTTGGTTGAAGAGGAGTTGCATTCACAAAATTTCTACATAGTATATAGTGAAAAAATCAACAAAGGGCCATAATTCTGTAACATTTGGTCGCAGCGAAAATTCCTTCCTTTACTGCCATCTACACCTTAAGATTGTTCATCCCTGTAAGTTTAAGCAAAATCTGCCATCCGGTTTAAGAGGAGTTGCGTTCACAAGATTTCGGGACGTACGGACGGACGGACTGACGGACGGACAAGTGCAACGCTATATGCACCCACATTGTGGGGGCATAAAAATCAATGTTAGGCTCTGATATTTGCGTCAATTACCGACGGTATAGAAGTTTGTCCATCATTAACACCGTAGGGAATGTGTTACAGTATCGCGTTTTTCGGTTACAGTATAGAATTTTCAAGATGGAGGATTATTGGTTGGGAGGACAGGTAGGTGATTTTTATTCCGGTCCATACTACTAGTAGTTTAGTTTATTTAAGATGTTTTTGTGCTTTGCTTGTAAGGAACAGAATCCGGTATCTAGTCATATATTTCTTTGGTAGCAAGACACCTCACCCCCCAGACACTTCACCCCTCAAATTTTGAAGACACTTCACCCCTTAAGACACTTCACCCCCCAAAATCAGTAAGACACTTCACCCCTCATCCAATTTTTTTCTATAAAGTAAATAAAACAAGTTGGTCAACAACAAAATGCTTACATATGTTTATATTTGTTATTTTTAGTATTATTTTATTAAAAATTTTGCTTATAACCTTTATTTTTACTAAGTTTAAAGCTGATTTAGGTTAATTGGTTGTATTGCCAAATATATCACAGCACTTTCATCCATTAAGTGTTTATTGCATGTCACCTTGTTTATTCAACAATCCACATGTTGATTAGTTGTTTATTCAACGGTTATCTCACAATTGATTAGATATTTGAATTAAAATGGTATAATTGTATGAAAATTAAATTAATTCTTAATAAATAAATTAAATAAATAAATAAATAAAATGAATATGAATGAATGAATCGGTTGCTTTAAAAAATATAGTAAATACAGAGATCTGCCGAGGACGCGATTTTGCGCCATTGGCGCTAAAAAAATGAGAATGGCGCAGGAAAATCGACAGCAAAGGGCCATGGGCGCATCTAAAATCTGTGCCAGACTTATAAGAAAACAAAACTGTCTGCTGGGTTATTTAGTCATCCAGTCAAAACTGGTACCCATGCTCCTGTAATTACGCATATTCTTGAGTTTATCCATTCCCCTATAGCTTTTGTCCATGTTATCTACTTACCGCATTTCTTCTCATAATCCCTTTCCCACACAGATACTCATTTCTACTACCGTAAATTTAATCCAATAAAACAAACAAACAAATTAAACAACTACTTAATATTTAAAATGATTATCGGTAACTGAAAAAAAAGTGTTGCTATTTTAAGAAATGCTGTAAGTTACAGTATAATCTGACAGGTGTTCAACTTGATCAACCCTAAGGTCACTCAAGTTCACGCAAATTTTGGCTGATGAAGTGTAAAAAAAAGATGTATATTTCGTCATCAGAATGTTTGACAGGGTGATTAACCAATCAGAGAAACATTGTGCATGACTTTTTTCATGATCAAAAGGTCTGTCGGCAAATGTCTTTGATGTATGCTGTCTACACAGAGGCATACAAGGGGCAATAAAATTCGTCAATATACAGTGGTTAGGGACATTTGGTGCAAAGTAGGAACAATTAAATGGATAATGCACAATATAACACATTACAAGTAAGAACCAGCAATTATGTGAATAAATTTGCATATCAAATTTTTGAGCAGCCATTTAAAAAATATTTTCATTTTTGCCTGCAATTAATATTAGTTAGAAAGTCACCATGTAGGCATAATTTTTTATTATTGGTAAAGTACTGAATTATAAGTGAACCACTTGTCATAAAATATGATTTAAGTTTTATTACCGGGGCAATTCAATTATCTACAAACTTTTTAACAGTTATTTTGGTCAATGTTTACTTATTTTCCCAAGGCCCATACTTTGGTAAAAATGGCCCATCATTTTCAGACCAAGTGGGCCCAGGGCCCAGTACTTTCAAATTCTTGGCAGATCTCTGAAAATATAAATTATGTATCATCATTATCAGACACAATTATCCTGCATTTAATACAAAGATCATTCATAATGTTATTTATTAAACAAATAAATAGCACCAGTTATGTAAATTAAGCACAAGGTAAAAGCACAAACCATCACCAAATGAACGTAACTCGATGATTATTATATGGTAAGGATCAGACTGAAAACAAACTTAAGTACCAAAACTTCAAGAATTAAATCAACTCAAAATTTATTAGACAATGGGTAAAAACAATAAACATATCCTGAAATATTCGGTTCTCGATAATGTAACAATAAAATGCAAAAACAACAAATGGAAAAAAGACTCACCTTTATTCTAAATACATCCTTGAATCCATAAATATATTCTCTTTAAGTTTTTTAATTGTTAACAATCAATGAAATAACGAATAAAAAATATTTTCAAAAAATATAACAAGTGTCAAAAAAGGATTTCCAATATGGCGTCTTGAATTCTCGATAACTCGAGATAAATCTCAAAACGAGGCTGTATTAAGTATGGTGGCCCAGTGTTGACATGCTATAGACAACAGTTGCAGTAGAACACTGTATTCTTTCTCACAACACGGACTGGAGAGCAGTATTTAAGGTGAACCCAATGGGAACAAGTAGCATTATCACACGGTGCCCAGTGGGTGAATTCTATTGCACCATGGGAATGCTTGTCTACATAATATTGATGACATTGGCAACACTTATCTTCATCAGGTATTTCTGATTCATTTTCACTATTAGAGAGGTTTGATTTTTCAGAAAGTTTAATGTTTTGTTTGGATGGACCTGGCTTTTGTTTATCATTTATTTGAAGATTGAAGCTGGTGGCTGAATTCTTTTTGTTCTTAGCAGTTTTAGCTTTTTTTCTTTTTAGGATCATTTGAAATAACTTTACTGTTACTTTCATCAATGTATTTTTTTCATTTTTTCTACAGTTTCACCTTCCAATGCTTTTCCACCAACAATACTATTAATGCTTTTACGTTTTTTTCTTCATGATTTTTATATGTACATCACCACCTTTCTTATCAAAAAAGTTATTTTCTGCTGTTTCAGGTTTTTTTGTGATCTCCTGATGCTGTCACTTCATCATCAACTATGTAAAGTTCAGATGGTTTGATTTTACTTTTTAAAAGTTCAACCATAGAGGATGAGTTCTTGAATGGATAAATGCCTGCCTTATTGAAAGAAGCTTGTAAATTTAAAGGACTTAGAGCAAATGAGTACGCCTTGCAAGCAAAGTGAGCAGACATCATAACGAGTGACAACTCTGTGATGTGTTCTAGCAAATTTAGAACATTCTTGAGCATATTTCAGTTGCAGAGGACCAAAACATCCAATGTCCATAGGCTGGAGGATATGAGAGGTGTGTGGTGGCAAGACAAACAGAACAATATTTTGCTGTTTAGCCCATTCAACAAGATCTACTGATATGTGACTACGATGACCATCATCAGGGCCAAAAAACCCTTCTTTAAAGACGCCGAATATCGGCTACTTCCCCAACCAAACTAGCCTCTTTTTTTCCCCAATTTTGTCCTAAAAATTCCCCAATCGCTTGAAAATTCCCTGCAGAATTAAGAACTGAATTAACAGAAAAAAATAAATATTCAAGATTTCTTCCGAACAGCGTTGAAAACACGAAATCCCCGTATGTAAAAATAAACCGTGACCTATTAATATCCGCTTAGAGGGGCGTGCACCTTGATCGTATATAATTTCATTGACTCGCTAGGCATGACGCAATATACTGTATTATACCCTAGAGGGGTATGCATAATAGTTGTTAACATTTCATTGTCTCGCGAAACATGACGCTGTACTTTTTCAAAAGCTAAAAATAGATGACCTTAACTCTAGTAAAAAACCGAAAATCTATCTTTAGATGTAGATTTTCTAAAAAGATATTTACGGTGGAAATTGAAGAGTTATTTTACCGCTACAAAGGTAAGTTATTGTACGAAGTTTAACTAATAATTTCGAGTACTTAACATCGTTTTCATTAGTAGAACTGTAACTAAATTTTTACAACATATATGTTTTTGTATACCGGCGCTTTACGGCAAAGTTCAAAATGTCGCATAACTGGACCCATTACACAAAAAAAATTAAATTGTCCGACTCCAAAAATACCAAAAATATCACGGCTTTTTTTCAAAAGAAAAACGTAAGTGAATCAAGTAAAGTATCAGATACACCTTCAGATACCAATAGATCTAAAGTCATTGAGATAGAGAAGTGTACTTCTTCAACCACTGTTGATGATGTTGTCATTGTTGAGTCCGAGAGATCAGAGAAAATTATTGAGAAGGAGCATTGCAGCAGCATTGAGAAAATATCTGACACTGAACAGATGACTGCCAATGACATGAGGAAATTTAATTTGGCAAAGTATGAAGCCAAATTTCCTTGGCTATTTTATAGTGCTATTTATAGGGGTTACATGTGTAAATATTGTGAATTGTTTGCACCAAAAATTGATAAATCAACTCCTTATGTTACTTGCGGAGCAGTTCTTGGCTCTCACCCAACTAGACGTCTAGAAATTCATCAAACTAGTGAGTCCCACATTAAAAGCACAACCCGTTACACAAATAATCTTTGTAATATGAATGTTGCTAAGTCAGCCTTAAAGAAGTTGAAAACTTCTCAAGAAGCACAGGTTGCTAAAAATCGTGCTTACATCATGAAATTGTTTCAAACATGTGGCTTTATGGTCTCTAAGAAATGGGCGTTTGCAGAAAACTTCCAAGACCAGGTTGCTTTTATGGGACAGGTTTGTGACCCAGACATATCTGAAATAATGAAATCAGATACGACATACACATGTCCACCCTCAGCTATGGATATTGCCTTCATTTTAAGTGACTTCCTTGAGCGCCGCCTCCTTACTGACTTGAGAGGGAAAAAGTTCACAATATTAGCTGACGAAAGCACAGACCAAGCAAATCGCACTCAACTTTCAATTTTTGCACGTTGGGTATCTGATATTGGTGCTGTTGAACACTATATGGGACTTGTAAATGTGCAGAAAACCACCAGTGCTGCAATGATGGAGGCAATAACTGCATTTTGTCGTGGGAAAGGTATCACCTTTTAGCCTAATTCATTTCAGAAACACCTTAATGACCTGTCTTGGGTTATGTTTTTATGATCACTCATCATCAGCTGTACTGTACACTTAAAGAAGGCTTTGTCTGAATTTAGTTGTATACCAATCTATCACATATCTTGTTTATATCTTGAATTATGTTTAATATTTGCAACTAATTTGACATAAAAGATCCCTGTCATCAAAAAGTATGCTAAAGTTAAATTTTGGTAGTGAAAATTATTTCTTAAAAACTAATTATAATGTTTTTGTTCACAGATATTGATATGCGTAACATCAGATTTGTTGGTTTGGATGGCTGTAACGCCATGAGTGGTGAACACAAAGGTTAGTACTGTTAACGTTAGCATATATTATCATCATACATTGTTCTTTCTTATAAAAGTTATGATTTATTCCACAAGTGAAGATAAAATCTGATAAAAGAATGTTTTATCCTCTATGTAAAATAAGCTGAAAGCACTTAAACAAAGGCTCCCTTTATAATTCAAAATTTGAGTATCAAATCTGTTTTTAAAATTTTAGTGAAGGTGCAGCAGTAACATCAATATCAAGTCATGAATTTTTTTTTATTAAACATAGTATCTGATTTTTCACTTTGTTGCATTTTCAGGCTTGCAGAAGAGAATAAGACACGAGTCTCCCCTGTGTATCTACATTAACTGTAGAAACCATAGGCTAGCTCTATGTCTCACACACATGGTTAAAGCCAGTAATGATCTTAAAGAGGTTGATCAAGTTTTTATAGGCTTGTGGAAAGCTTTCCACTTCTCCCCCAAAAAGGCAGCAGCGTTTGAGACCATCCAGGCAGTATACGGACAAAAACCCCTTAAGTTTATTAAGGCTTGTACTACAAGGTAACTATACTGAAAATTATAATTTATCAAGTGCCTTCGATATTACTGATATCTGTTTGTAGTATGCGTTTTTATCTGACTACAAGGCTGGAACTTGAATCTTTTAAGACCAAACCTTACTTTTTATTTTAGTTTTACCCTTTTTAATTAACAGATTGATTGATATGATTAAGTTCTGTATTCAGTCAATTTATTTATTAAGAAAATTATTGTTTGTCTAAATCCATAGAGTCCACTTGTCTTTCTTTCAGATGGTTATCGCATTTAAAGGCTTGCGTCAGATTTATTGAGCGATACGAGGCCCTCCTGGACACCCTTGACAGCCTTATCCAAGAAACAAAGGAACCCGAGTTGACAGGGCTACGCATCAGTATGACATCACCAGGAATAGTCATGACTGTCTTGGTATTGGCCGACATATTGAAGCCTGTCAACTTTTTGTCCCTTTACCTCCAACATGACGTTGGTACTTTTACAGAACTTCCAGCACGGGTGCACAAGTGCCAAGATGACCTTCGTCAAATAACTTCTAGTTATGAGGCGGGTACATACCAGGATCTAGAGTTTGGGTAAACTTTTTTATCCATATAGAGTTTGTGCAATTGGTAAACTTTATTTGATGAAGTTAGGTTAAACTTCTGTAATGTTGATATGTTCTGATTTTTAACCTTTCATTAAAATATTTGAAGTAAATCAATAAACATAATACCACCAAATACAAACATTTAAATAAACAATGACTTTAAATAAACAATGACTTTTCATTTAAAGCTTGTCATGTTAATTCAAGAATTTGTTCGTGTTCTATTAAAATAGGAAGTGCCAAGGAATGCTGCAAAATATATCCGCTAGGACACAACTGGCTAGGCATATGAGAGCTCATGACAGGGAGCTAGATCCAGATGGTAGTACCTTGTTATACATTATATGTTACAGATTATAAAAAGCTGCACATTTATTACCCTTTTTTCTCTCTCCAGATAATATGTATCATAATTTAAGTTAGAATAATTGTATAAAATTACTGTGACAGAAATTATGCCTTGTAATTTTGCTACTTAAACTCATGATTATTTAAAAGCTACAATAAGTACTTAATCTCAAATATTAATCTTTCAATACACAATACTTTGCATTTTATGACATTCTAGATTTTCTACGACTGAAGGGATCCCCAATGGTTTACACACTTATTAATGAGATTGAGGATGCTTTTGCCAACCATACATCAGTTTTGTCAGCTTTTAGTGTACTTGACCCAATGAATCTGCCTTCTGATGTGTCACAATTACCAGACTATGGAAATGTAAGTATTTAATGACAAAAAAGAGTAACCTTCTGTCATGCAATGAAATGAAATGCCTATATATAGTATTACCATTAAACCATTTAATTCAGATAACTTTCATCATAAATTCATAACTCAAGCATAGACTCAGAATGTGTTAATGTTTACCAATGATATAATATATAATAAAGTCTTGATTAAACCAGGCCCACATAGAGACCTTGGCTCAGTTCTATGGTACAGAACAAATAGATGAATTTGAGGGGAACAGGACAGTGGTTCCACCTGAACTTGGCTGTCCTGTGACTGTTAAAAATGAGCTTGAGGCTTTTAAGCCTCAGCTCTACATGTACAAGTCAGTAACCATGTTAGGTGTTGATTGTTTCTGTTGAAATTGATGTTTCTTATTTTTTTCATTTGGTGTTTTTCATATTAACTGTTATGTTTGCAATTTCAATTCGTTTTAGATGTTAATAAACTGAAGTGCTAATTGCAAAATGTTCAATTTTATTGCACAAGTTGTATATTGTCCTTGAATAAAATCTTTTTGTACCTCTATTAATATAAGGTGTAATAAGTGAAACATCTTTTTTGCATGAATAAATATGGATCCATAAGTTTTGGAGTTGAAAATAATAAATAATAATAATAACAATAATAATAATAATAAACATAATAATGATTATTGTAATAAAAATTTAAAAGATAACAACAACATTCTCTTACAAGTACAGTATATTCAATTTGTTTTCAGACGCAGAGGTGAAGAGTCAATGGCAAAAGTTGCAGCAGCCATTATGAAAGATGACATCATCAAGGGATGTTTTCCAAGAGTGCACAAACTCTATGAACTGGCTCTGCTCATTCCTCAATCAACTGCTGTTGTTGAGAGAGGGTTTTCTGTCATGAATGACACATGTACAATCTTAAGGACCAGTATGAGTCAGAAAAGTCTTGATGCATTAATGCGTATTTACACCATGAGTAACACAGTTAGAGACTTCTCTGACGATGACTTAAACGCTTTGGTGGATGAGTTTAAATCAAGAAAGAATAGGGAAATGTTATTATAAAGCAAGAATCAATGAATAAAATTGGGTTTTTTTAGTTATAAGAGAGTCTATGTTGTTTATTTTTCCATATCAATGTTATATATCCCTTTCTTGACGATTTGAAACAGCCCAATTTTTCCCAGGGTTCGTAAATATGCAAAAAATTCGCCATTTTTTGTTGAATACACATTTTCCTGGCCACAATTTTAAGGTTTTTATAGAAGAATAATAAAGGGCGCATAAAAAACAATTAGTTCAAAACAACTGCAATTTGTCCACTTACTATTACATTGAGCAAACATTTCATTGATTTTGATATTAAATTTTATCATTCTTTTGACTTTCGTAACTATTGACTTTTATCTATTCTGTCATTCAATATTTTTCAAGCACATTTTTAGCAAATTTAAGCACTTTTTAAGTACTTTTCAAGACAGTAATCAAATTCAAGGACTTTTAAGCACTTTTTTACAAATTTAAGCACTTTTTAAGAAAAAGGACTCAAATTTAAGCACTTTTTAAGACTGTACGAACCCTGTTATAGTGACAGTTTTACCACGCTCAGACATGATAACTTGTGCCTAACAATCTTTTCCACTAACAACACTAGGGGGTTTATATTCAGTATTTATTCCCTTTTCATCAATGTTATAGATAAGGTGCGGTTTGTCAAATAAATTATATTACGTAAAATTCTTTCAAGTTCTTAAAAGTATTTAGTGACAGATTCTTCACTGGCACATTTAGCACGTTGTTCAGACAGACTTGAAGGACGGACAACATTAAGTTCTGGCCACCTTTTTATGAAGTTATAAAACCAATTAAGAGTGAATGGCTGATCATCTTTCCTCTTGCCTAAAGAAACAGCATAATCAGAAGCTAAATTGACTACTTCAGCCCTCGTGTGACCATATCCAACAGAAGCAAGATCTTTTAAGTGTTCACACAATTTAGCTTCTTCATCTAAAGAAAGCACAGGACAGGGTCCTGATTTGACACAATCAATTGATATTCTATTATCAACCCGGTCTCTCAAAGTAGTAAGAGGAACTCCATTTAGCTTTGCAGCTCTATATACTGGAATTCCTTCATCTTTCACCATTTTATAAGCTGATGTCATAGCAGTTGGTGACCATAGCCGTAGTCCTGACCTATCTGCAGGTTGAGTAAGCTGAAATGAACCAGAATAAACAATCTTTTAATGCATATTTTGGCTTATTTTGAATACCACATATATTAAACATGAATAAAAAACAAAAATGTGTTTATTTTCTTTATTAGATGGTCTTAACATCAACTTAGATTCAATACAGATTATGTCCAGTCTGTATTTAACTATTGCAATTAATAAAATCTATGGCCCTGATTTGCTTCCTTATTTTATTTTTTTGACAGGTGCTAGTGACGTATCACTTGGTCTATTTTTAGAACTAATGTTGATTTGCTTGCATCATCCATCGGCTGCTGTCAGAGGCTTGCAGATAAATTAAAATGGAGGATTGTATAAAACAGAAAAAAAGCATTAGTGAAAACTGTATAAAATTGATGATAAATTTTTAAATAAAAGAGTAAGTTTACCTTTATCCTGAACATTTTTACCGTGAAAACAGTTTTTATTGAAGCAGCTGAATACACAGTGTTAACTTGGAGGTTTCCTTGTCAAATGACGTCAAACTCGTGAAAAAAAACACACGATTATTTATTCTATCGGGAATTCCATTATATCGAGAACTGAATATCTGAGGATACGCAATCACTATTGAATGTATTTAACATAATCTACATAAATAATTGTTAAACACAAAATAAAAAAAAATGAGGGGTGAAGTGTCTCAATCAAATTTCTTAAAATGAGGGGTGAACTGGCTGAGGGGTGAAGTGTCTGCAAAAAAGCATTTTTTACATTACTTTCTACGCCATTGTCAATCAGCTGTTCGATATTTTGTAACGAGTCTTCTGATTGGCCAATAGCAACGAAAACCGCAACGTTTCACACAAGATGCCTAATGGCGAAGAAAGCGATTGAAAGACCGTGTAAATGTTTGAAACTCGAATCTTGTGTGTATTAGATGCTACTGATGGTTGTGAGTGGTCCAACTTAATGTATTTAGTAATATTATTTAGTAAATTCAAGTAATTTTGACCCGTAGTCAGCTGACATACATGTATTAGTCTATGTTACGTTACGAATTGTTGTGCCGCAATTATGTCTACCAAGGATTTTTAGCACGAAGTCGCTTGTTTCCTGATAGATATTTCATGAACGGGAAGGGCTAGAGACTTGGGGTTGGTCTCATTTTGAAGCTTTATCAGGTCTAGGATTTCATGATATTTATGGACTGTCCGTAAATTTATGGACAGTCTAGAAATTTAAAGATTTTTCAATCCATAAATTTACAGATATTCAATGTGAAATTTGCTGTTTTTAGTTTTACAATAAAATCCGCAGCTTAAGACAAGTTGTTTTATTGATTGTTTATATTTACAAAGGTAATGGGGTGGGTTTCATCTTTGTATGATGATTTTGAAATTTTTGTAAAAAGTGAAAATCATCAAACTGTTCTGAATCTTAGCATACTGTTACATTTTCTATTTTTTTTTTTTACATCATACTGCTTTAAAATCGTTTACGATCACTCTAAGCAGGTATACATTGTATACATTTTTAAGAGACAGCTATGAGATACAAGGGAATCCGGGAACCAGTCCCTAGCTCTTATTGAATAGACCCCTTGGTTCTTTTACATGCCCAGTGTATAGCACTGATACATGCGAGGATTACCTGGATTTCTTACCAGTACACCTCTAGTTAGGTGGGAAACACTGAAAGTGTCTCTGAAAAATCCCAAGGTTATAACCCAGGATCGAACTCGGGACCTCAGGAGTGATAATCAGTGGTCTAACCAACTGAGCTATCGCGCCACCTAGCTATCGCGCTAATCATATAATACCTAGCCTTATTCATTTTAACCTGCGGTTTTAAATTTTAATGCAACTTCTACTATTTTCTTACTTAAGGTCTGTAAATTTACAGACAAAAAAATCCATAAAATTATGGATCGTCCAAAAATTTACAGACTGTCCGTAAATATCATGAAATCTTAGACCTGTTTATATAAACGTGAAATAGTGATAAAGTTTTTTTTAATTGTCTGGCCAATTGTTTTCACAACGGCCCGGGAAATGAATCCCTTGCTCGTAGGCTCGAATCTGGAGTTTCCAGCCTTCTCTTAACTTATAGCATATTTTTAAAGGGGGTCATTATATACATTTTTTTTGTTTTGTTTTTTGACACTTTTAAGATGAACACAGGTTTTTTTTTATCAATCTGGTCATATTTTTTCTTCCCAGGTCCGATACTTTTGCCTGTGCAAAAAAGTAAGGGTGTAACGGTTTACCGGTATACCGATATATTGCAATATGAAAAAATAAATTTCGAACCGCGGTACGATTTTTGGAAAACCGGTATTTTATAAAAATCATAATTTCCAATTAATTGCCTTCTAATTTTGTACAAATTTCACATAAAATCTTTAATTGGCAAATTTTGTTGGCGCCAACGTAACATAAAAGTATCCGACAACTAGTACCAGGGTTCCCACTATTATTTAGGAGTGAAATTCCAGGCTTTTTCCAGGTTTTTTCAAGGATTTTTTTTTAAATTCCAGGTTTTTCAATTTGAGAATTCCAGGTTTTTTCCAGACTTCCCACCAGCCCGTAAAGGGTGAAAACATAATATGTCCAGTTTTTCAAACGGGCAAATAAAAATATTGTTCATTTTACTTGCACAAATGACAAATCTTTATTGGCCTATAAGAGTTTTGTCATTTTAATGAAAACAGTATACTATATATATATACAACATTGGCATAAAACTATTAAACATAGGTCAGTCATAACAAAACTTTAATTGTAAATGAGAAACGAGGCAATTGTATTAAATTTTCAGCAAAGTATTTACATATGTTTTAGGCAGCACCACAAGAAAACCAGCAAATTGCTTGTGTGACTAGCATGGATCCAGACAAGCTTGGCTATCCATGCAGTCAGATCAGGATCCATGAAGTTTTGCTTTCAGATGTTAAAAATGTTACACACGCTTTAGGCAGACAGTATGGATCCTTATGGACTGTGAAGATGTGAAGGGACTCATCTGGATCCATGCTTGTCAAACACACACTTTGCTGTTTTCTCATGGGGTGGCTCATTATAATAAATTTACATCTAAGATGTCATTTTTGATGCCAGTCAGATCCAATGTATAAGGTGTAATTTGTTTTGTTGATTTTTTTCCTATTTCTATTTCTGTCTCGCAACTTGCGCACTAGCGCAGACGACATATTTGCTGAATCAACTGGACGACTGTGCAGTAAATTTTAAGTGCTCCGGAAACACGGACGTTTATTATTTTTTCGTTCGTTTTCATAGTTAATTTCTAGCGAGGTTTCAAAGCCATTACGCATTTGCCGTATAAAAAGCTGAATTTTGATTTGTAAAATGTTCAAAATACCAAGATAGCTTGTTAAAACCATCCTCGGTGGAAGAAAACATCAATAATCCAAACTAAGGAAATGGACGTTGCTTCGGCGGCAGCCATATTGTTCAATATCGATTACTTCCCTTAGTGGTACGGACTAAATCCCGGACTATTCCCGGACTTTTACCGGACGGAGCAAATTCCCGGCGTTTTCACGACCGGGAGTCGCGATTTTGAAAATCACGGACTTTTCCCGTTTTCCCGGTAGCGTGGGAACCCTGTAGTACACTTAAAAGTCAATAAGCGGCCGCATAATTTACATAAGCGGCCCAGATGTGAAAGGTCACACGCGACAAGTTTTGTTTATCAAATTGTGTGACACTACTTTTTATTTATTCCTTACATTTTTATTAAGTTTCTACTAAAAATATATACATATAATAATAATATTAAATGTTACTCCATCTTTACATCAAAACATATACACGACAATACGTATTGCAATATATTGCAATACGCTTCAGCAAAATGGCAATATATTGCAATACGGTTTTTGCTGTATTGTTACACCCCTACAAAAAAGGGCCTAGGGTGAAGTGTCTGGG